TAGAAACGTTCTGTTGCTAGAAACGCTCTGTTTCTAGCAACGCTCTGTTTCTAGCAACGCTCTATTCCTAGAAACTCTCGGCTCCTAGAAACGCTCTATTCCTAGAAACACTTGGCTGCTAGAAGCGCTGTGTTTCTAGAAAAGATCTGTTGCTATAAACGCTCTGCTTCTAGAAATGCTCTGTTCCTAGAAACGCTCGGCTCCTAGAAACGCTGTAATTCCAAGTTCGCGCCGCAAAAGGCTCTATGAAAGCCTGTATATGTGATAGTCTTATAATTTATATAATCATGTGTACTAGAGGCCTTAACAGAGGCTGTGCAGCTCCAAATACGATGTCATACTCCTGGTGATGTGGGCACAGCCATCAATACTACTTCTATCTCCGTGGTTGGTAAGGCCGAACACTGCACTGTCTGGACTTGCGCTCCCTTATCGTGTCACTCTCTTCCTGAGCTCCATTCACGGAATTAGTTTACGATGTAGAGCGGGTATAAGAGCTACGAGCCCCCCATATTTATACTACACTAGTCCTCTAAAATGGCATCCTTCATGTTGTTCAGCCTTACAATTTGTTTTTCAGTCGGACTCATACTAATCAGCCCGCTCGCTTTCCTTGATATCAGAAATTTATTCAGAGCGGAAACCCAGGTTTCTGAGTATGATTACCGCTGGGAGAAGATTATGAGAATTACTTTCGATACTGGTTCAATAGGTCTAGAGATTACTGGACTCGTTGCAATCGCGACAGCACCCCATTCAATTGAGAAGTACTTCTGGCTAGACGCAGTCATTATGAGCAACCTCCAACTTCTCACTAGCAACAACGTGAGATGATTTCTCTACCTTGGTAGCCCGCCTCTAACTAAAGGGAACCTTAGCTCGCCCGAATGCTACAGATTTTCATCTTACCCCCCTGGACCATATGGGCAGTACATCTGGTGGCTGTCTTGACTATACTGGATGTTGTTGCCGCAGTTACGTAAGTAGATCGCATCAGCATTGTATTGTGTATTTTCTGATTGCAAGTAGAGGCAAAACAATATCTGCTTCTTACGAGTCGGCACTGCTTACTCGCTTCGCTGTTGCATCGTTTTTATCTTTGGCACTCTCACACAAACAACTAGAGACCCACAAGAACTCAGGATCTGAGCGCAGAGATGAAGAATATATGCGGGTGTTGCATGCCTTTATTTTCGCGAACGCGGCTGCCGCGTCCAGCCAACTTTGTAGCGCAGTCTTTACCTCTAGTTTCTCACTTGGGTATAGAAGCACTTCTACCAAACTACGGCAAGGTCTATTTATAGTGAGTTTTTATCAATCTTCGTTACGTTATCTAATCTTTAATAGGCATGTACTGCTACACAATTCCTATGTTATCTTCCATTCTACATTAATCGGATCTGGCGTCGAACTATTCTACCAATAAGTTCTTGGATGGAAGGAATACGCCACTTCTTCGCGGGCAGATTTACAGAGAATGATAATTTCTGAATGTTAAAACAGTAGGTGGCGAAGGCTTGGGAGGGAAAACTTTAGTTAGGGGCTACGCGTTAATTCTCATTTGATTATAGCTACAGGATCGCTAGTTAGAGGCGCTATCATAGGCTTTGTGCACAAATTTTCATGTAATTACAGGAATAACGTACAGATTTTACTGAATCAGAGGTAAGCAAACTATCCATAACCAGAACTGATTGCTTGTGGAAGTATTTCATAATGATCCCTCTTTGAGCTCTGAATCTGCCACTTTAGGAAACTCATGGAATTACTATTATCGAACATAGGCTACCGAGAAGAGGGAATTGACAGTTTTCGCCACTCTGGAACTAAACCTTGATAAGCAAATAATACTGTTTATTTATAATAATATGCGCCGCACCATATAGGGCTGTTGACCCCTGAGGCGAGTTAAGATATAATTACGTACTAGTCTAGCCAAGACTAATGGTATATAGTAAGCTTTCGATACCTCTCACAAGATCACTCTTCCTCCGACCTATACTCTGTGCCTTCTTCAAAAGTTAGGAGAGTAATGAGTTCCCAAGATACCATCCCAGACAATACATTTTACCAAGTATGCATGGATGTTGTACAATTGACGATTATTACTGACCATCTCAGGGACATCAGAACTGTCTATTAGTCAGAAACGATGTCGTTGATCCAGCTTCAGATCTAGCAGAAACAGCAACTACAAGCAAGCAATCCGGTGATGAGAAGAGCAAGGAACAGCCTAGCGAATTCACCTCGCGCAAGATCAAAGAGGCAGTCTCACATAATAACGCTAGTAAGTTTTTCATCCCTATAACTCGAGCAGTATTTAAAAATTATGTAGAGCGCAAGCATGAGGAGAGTGATACCGAAGGGGTATATCCCTTGGGCGAACTCAAAGATATAGCGGGACAGCTAGAACATGCCTTGAGTAGGGTAAAGGCCTTGGTCTCTCATTTCCAGGAAGCACCCGAACAACACACTCACAAGACCTTGCATATGAGCGGCAAGCTCGTCAGATGGGCAGATAGTACTAGTACCCACGCTGTTACACGTCGCCCTAGGAAAAAAGCACGTAGAAATCTTTGAACCCTGTGATATTCTTTTCTAAAAATTCTATCAACTAGTTCCTATCTTATGTTTTCTTGGCTAGGAAGGCTTGACAGAACTTCGCGAAAACCTTATCAAGCTCTCTCACAACAATGAAACCACTGACTTTGTGCTTTTGCTAAGCGGCTTCACTATTAACACTACGCTATCAAACCACTTAAGCCAAATCATCGTCCTGAAAATAGTACTTTCTCCTATGTTTCCAAATCTCTAAACGAGATATCCGCTGTCTCAGTTATATCCGGTGATAAGTGTAGGGAGCTGTACTCCCAGCTGTTTTCTAGCTCAGCTTTCCTTCCGGATGTGCTACCTACATCAGAAGAGTCGTTTATGTTAAAGGAACCATGTCTGTAAGGTGATAAGGCAGAGACATCTGATAAGCTGTGGTTCAAACATGATGCTGGACTTGATAGGTGGTGATCAGATACCGAAGTATTACTTGAGGTAAGTGGCGTATAGAATTTGGTATCTATTAAGGCCTCCCTTTTTGCTTTGGATTCACATAGAGCTATAGAGGTTAGATATACAATTTCTGTTTGAATATAGAGTTTTAGTGCAGACTCGCACTCTTTTCAAACACCTCTATGGCTGCCAATGCATGTACCAGTCGCTTCTGTAGCGACACATTGTCTAGCTCAAGCTCTCTATTCTAAAGCTGTTAATGAGGCACTCTATATTTGCACAGTCGATTCCGAACCTGTCGTTCAAGAGCATCAATTTGATCTTTGACCCTCTGGCGCGACCTTCGCTGACTCTCACGGTTCCTTTTTCTTTTCTGTGCAAGCTGGGCGGTTGTAGGTTTCATAATATAACCACCTTTTCTCCGGAAAAATACTCGTACTATGTAATTAGGTTGATAGGAAGTAGAGTTGAATAAGATCTAAATATTGATTTCTGGGCAATTAATAAAATAATAGGAATTAATAATTCTAGAGATACGTCAATAAATTGATCCCGTAGAAAATAAAGGTATAGGGCTGATAATACGGCTGACAAGGCTTTGTTGACCGCTCAGCGCTACCTAGAGGGACGCGAATGCCGCTTAGCACAAGTATCACAAGTCGCGCTGGTAATATAGGGTAAGTAGAATATACACTGGTTTCAGTACCTTCTAATCAAGGTCTAATAGAAAGTCTTATATTTTTATCTAGTAGCAAATGATTTGTAGCGCAGCTATGCCATATGTTATTGAGTGTTCGTGGGGCTGACGAGAGCCAAGCTTCTCGACGCCGATATGCCCAGTCACACCGCCCCCGCACCAACCTCCAATGCCCGAGATTTTCCCGGTTGTTATGATCCTCAAAACATTGCTAATAACAAGAGCTGCAATCCTTAACAGCGAGCTTCCACACTCTATATAGCCCTTCACAGCTGACTTTGAAGTATGAAGCACTCAATATCAGATTCGGACACTGCACAGCTTTCACAATGTCCCAGCCACCTTTCGAAGCGCCGCAAACTACAACCTGTCAACCCCGAGACGCGCCGCACATCTCCGCCCCATTCGCATCCATCGAGATTATCAAACCCAGCGTTACAGTCGTTGCATGCATCTCCAGAATCGTTCGCACGCACCGAAGACGTGCTCAAGAATATACATCCACCTGTTTCAGATGAGCCAGATGAGAAAACAGCGTCAATAGCACATTGGGTCATCAACTGCGAAGCTGACACGATGGCACCACCAACACCACGAAGTGGATCTGTTTCCTCCAGCCGTGGTAGACGCTCCTCTAAGCATTCTGCACGTGCGTCTCGAACTCCCAGCCCTAGTAAACGAACGTCACCACAAACGTACCGTAACCAGAATATGTCTTACGCTGGAGTCTTCATTGACGACCTAAATGAACTTCCGCACGATATCGAGTGTAAAGTGCGATATATACTAGGAACAGAGTCTTTAGACAACGTAATTGGTACAATAGAAGACGGATCGCAGCAGGCGACCTATGTAAAAAGGTTCCTGGATCAGTCGCGTTATCACGCAAGAAGTTGTTCGCTTGAAGGCGACTGGAAGGCTAGTTTGTTCAGTCTAATGGGCGACTTAGCGCGAGACAACTTCCAATGTCATACATCAGAGAAGCGTGAGTTCGCAAACCGTATCCAGGGCATTATTCTGAGATGCTGATACTCCCTCCAGTCTGGAATGCCGACCTCAAACCCTCGCCGCCTGGCGTGGCCCAACCGGATGATGAAAGCGGCGCGTCGACACCGCGCTTTCCACAGCCGCAATCTGTGCTCCCCAACTTCGATTCACAATCAGCTTCCGGGTTCCCAGGGCCAGTGCCTTCACTACAACCGTACACACCTTCCATCGCTTATACGACCAGCAGCGAAGCTGCCGACCCATTCCACATCTCAACACCAAAGCCGGACATCGTAGTAGGGCTTGAAGACAGGGATTTTGCGCCAACGCATCGAGTTCGGTTGGCCAAACACCAAAGTTTTGGATCAATACTGAGCGACCCGCATACAGCAGCCATGGGCTTGCGTTTTCCTTTTCTGATTGCAGAGACGAAGGGTTTGAGCCTGAATGGGGGTCTGGTGGCTGCGCAGAATCAAGCTGCTATTGGTGCTGCTTGTATGCTAAAGATACTGGATGACCTTGAGAGTCAGGCCGCACTGCCCACGGGATCTGCGTCTCCAGCAGAGTCACCGCTCTGTTTCTCTATCACGACCGAGGGTCCAGTACATGAGCTATGGGTGCATTTCAAGCTTGGAGAGGCGACTCATATGCACAATATCAGGACATGGCGCACGACGCGCGAACGCGATGTGTGGGAGCTGGTGTGCTGCCTCACTCGAATTTTGAAGTGGGCGAAAGATGATTTCATGGTGAAAATACAAGAGAAGTTGAATGCGGTACCAGACTAGATGACCGTTAGCTGCCAACGTCTAGCCTTCACTCTTTTCCGTGTTAATATCTGATATCATGATGGCCCTGCGTCGTACGTCTTCTGCCCCTCTTCTCAGCTGACCGAACAGGCAATTCCAGTGCAAGTTGGGTCTTTGTTATACTTGTGAGCTCAAAGCACTGAAGATGCACTTGAATAGCCACTCTACAGCCTGGCAGCAGAGATTGTTTAGATGCACTAAGCGCAGCTACTCCGCCTGAGGCTTGATATAACAGCTCTGCCAGACCAGGAATCTAAAATAACAAGTTTGCTTATCCCAACTTGTGCTTCTTATAAAGTTGTCCTAATATTAAAACAAAACTAACGTCCATCCCTGTGGGTCGAACATCCCTCCGCAACGAACCACCAACACTGCCCAAGCACCTTACACCCAAGCCGCAGAGGCTCTTAGACATAAATACACATTTATATGCTTACTAGATCT